TTCCTGTTCACTCAGAAATTTGTAATGTATAATAATTCTACAAGTTGTTTTCTCAGAGCTACATCTTACTGTTCTATGATGCTGGTTCTTAGTCTGTTTACCAAAAAGTCTTGGGGAAAACTGTCCATTTTTAGCTGAGGATTGCTCACAGATGGTAGAGGGCTTGATGCTGCTGTATGTTAAGCAGCCTTCACTGTAGGTAATATCAGTAAGCAGAGTGATTTTTTCTGCAGCTGTAATTGGAAGCTCTTGCTTTGCCCATAAAATGTACCACCTGGGAGGACTCCTACTGTCAAATATTGGATGTCAAAGAAAGCAAGTACTGGTGGTAATCAGGCTCAGCAATAGCGAGCTGGACTTAGTGCAGTAATGCATCGTCTTACTCCATGGGAGATGACACAGCACTCTGCTATGCTGGCATGCTTTCTCAGCTAACGTTTGCATCTCAAGTTGGAAGAAGGGTTTTGTCCTGATTTGTCAGTAAACCTGGCTGTCTTCCCTTTTGTTACCCATGTTCTGCCTTCCATTGCATTTTTTGTATTGTAACTGCATGTTAAAAGTTTTTATTTTGTAAATTTCTTTAACACACAAAACATTTGTTTGGTTTTCATTTTGCACGTGTATGTTGTTGGTGTCTCTCTAGCTTTCATGCTAGTCTGCCATGAGCTTTACAGCTGAAACATTTTGCTTAAATTGTAATAAAGTCACTCTGGTTAGTGTCACCAAGTAAAGATTTTTCAAGTACTTGTAAAAATACATGTCATATGGATTTACTTACTGGCTTTTTTGCTCACAGTCATCTAAATCAGACCTTTCCATTAAATATGTCAAATATAGTACATTAGCTTGTCCTTTGAAAAAAATGGTAAGTAAAAGCAGTCTGGGCATTTGAATTAATGTTGATTTGGTTCAACTTGCAAGTTTCCTTTTAGTCTTTTGCCAAAATTCAAAATATTTGTGTTTAATATGAAAATTTTTGGAAACATATTGGGAAAGGCAGGTATTACATAATGAGAAAAAACTGAAACCCCAGTTCAGTATCAAATGTTGTAATCCTGAGCAAAAAGGTAATTAATTATTTATCGGACTGCCTAGAGATACTCAGCATTTCCGTGGTGCCTGGCTTTTTCTCTTTTCTCTTGTTTTGTTTTGTTTTGTTTTTTTCTAAATCTGCAGTTAGGATATGTATGGATGCTTCATTTGGAAACTGCTGAAGGTAGTTTCTCTTTCTTTGTCCCAGAGCCAAACTCCATGAATTCCATCACACAGATTTCACTGATATATTGGAATTTTTCTGTACTTAAAATTCTTGTTGGGCTAGGCTGTACTTCCAAGACACATATAGCAGCTAAATGTGTGAGGGCAATGATTATTGATCATAGCATTTTTGCTGTAACAGAATCTGTATAATTTACAAAATACACACATGTAGAATACCTGCCGATGATGCTGAATTCTCCAAGAGTGGCACGACTGCAGCACCAGCAGCAAATTGTCAAAGTTCAGCAGCTACGAGGTAGAGAAACTTTGGAGATTTAAGAACCAGAATTGGAAGATGGCTTACATGTGTACTTGCTTCTGTGTGTCTGCCATGGTCCTGGCGTGGAGGCAGTGGGATGGGGGAAAGCATGCAGAGATGACCATGAGCAATTATTGTGCTAAGCATGTCCAGAGTGGATCAGCCCTAAGACAGAGATGTGAATTTAAGTACCCAGATCCCACTTTAGAGCTTGGAGAACCATAACAGATGCTTTTGTGAAGTTCATTATATCATTAGTGAAATAGTAGACAAATATGACATAATTTTGCAGTGTGCAGTGTCATGCAGCAAAGCTGCAGGTGTTTAGTAACTCACAGCGTAAATATCAAAGGTTTTATTCGGCTACAATTATTTGTGGTATTCCTTAAGCAGAAAGACTGGACATCATCCAGGAGCTCCTTTTTACATACTTAGTTTCATAGGTCTCAGAAGTGTTTGTGGGATCATGGTAATCAGCTCTTCACTAATGAGCAACACCTACTTTCTCATTCTGGATATCATTATTAAGGTGGAAAGTTTACAAAACGTGGTTTCATTTTGTCTGCAATTAATGTTTGTTCTCCTGCTGGTTTTTTGAATAGCCTTTGTTAAAAAATATCATTCTATTAGATGAGGAAAGAAACTGTACCAATGGCGTGTATTTTTAACCTCACCCACCGAAGTTCTGTCCCATCGAGGTGTCTGGATACCACTGCTGTTTTGCAGCACCACAAAGTATTATAACCAGTGTAGCAGTTGGTAAGATGTTGAGCATGTATGTTTATTGACCCCTCTTCAGGTTGTCTGATTTGGTTAATTAGGGTCAGATGTGATCCTGGCTATAGCTCTCATCCTTCCATCGTCAGCTTGGCTGGGTTGAGTTCAGAGCAGGAGCAGAAATTGAATCAGTGGAGAGTGCTTCTATGCAAACCCGTTTGCAAAGCTGGAATGAAGCAGTAGCGTATCATTGCTCATCTGCCTTCCAGAGTCTTTCTCCTCAGTTCCAGCTATGAACTGCAGGAAATCTCCGTTTTAAGAGTCAGGGCAAATTGATAAGCAGTTGCCCCCTCTGTATCTATCTAGTATCTGTAGTAGTTGGGGTTTATGATGCTTTTGCTTTTAATATGAAAACAGATATAAAATGTGAAATAGCAAATGCCTGGTGGGATGCCAGTAATTGGGAAAATTGTTGCTACAGGCAAATCACAGTCCCTTTAACCTACATTAGCAATACAGACCTATGAAAGGTTGGCACATTTTGTACATGTAAATTCATTCTTGTTTTATCTTTCATGTTAAGTACCAGCAGTGTATACGAGCTGTCATGTCATCCTACATCATCATAGGCACTGTGTCCTGGCTTCCCATTTTGCATTGAAGATTTCTCTCTGACTGACTGCAGTGAAGTCTGGCTGATGAGGTTTATCCAGAAGCAATTCCTCCCTTGGTGGAGAGCTTTAATTCCTTCTTGGAAACAAATGATGTTGTTTTGACCTTTGCCTTTTTGTCAGAATAGATCCTTGTGCTGTATTGAGTGAATGGGTATTTTTTTGTCTTTTCGGGCTTTTTTTCCTTCTAATCATGGCCACACAAAACTATAAGAGAAGTTTAAGCATCTTTCAAAACACAATGTGGTGCTATTTTTAAGAAAGTTGAATTCCAAATTTAATTAGAATTAGTTACATTATGCTTTTAATCTGACATGTAGTGACTACTGGAGCAATTAAGAGTAATAGGCTTACTTATCCTCTGTGCAACACAAGACCTTCTTTATCTGAAGATTGTAGGCAATATGGAAACTAAATACAGTGTTCCTCAAGTGGGCTTTGAAAAGTCACATACCATCTTTTGATGATAAATCTTCATTTCAGTTGTTCATTAGTTTTATATTACATGGGCAACAGCATTAATTTAATACTGATAATCAATTCCATATGCTGAATATTAATAGGTAACTTTCTAGATGGTGATATTAAAGAATTAAAAGGATTTCTACTCTGTTTTTATTATTTACTCAAGTGTAATTAAAGACTTGCCCTAGACTGCTGTCTGTGTACTAGATTAAGCTCAACATGATTTTGAGCATTTACCCTTTCCTTCTTAAAAAAAAAAAAAATTAAAAATCCAGGCTTATCCTTAATAATAATAATGCTAAGACCTAAATTGCTGTTCCCTAGTTTTGTCTAAACCATTTTAATTTTCTGGCACAAAATGTGAAACTAGAGAATTTGATAGACATAAGTGCATTTGTCATGCATAGAATGGCTCCAAGAAAATGAATTAAAATAACAACAAAAAATTTCCAATGAGATGAAAAGCACAAAGCCTGTGGCAAAATAATCATAGATAGCAAAAATAATATAACTCCCCCCCTGCTGAGCAAATGTTAGGAAATGTGTAATTTTAATAATCATGTTGTTACAAGAAATTAGTAATAGAAGCTCCAGGCCAAGTTCTAGCAAGTCACAAGTGGATACAGAAAGTCCAGAAGTAGAAAAGAAACTGTTTCACTGCTTAAGCAGATGCATGAAGTAAGAGAGTCTATCTGTAGGTGGTCTCTCTAGGTCTCTGAGACAACAGAGAAGGTAACTGGGCAGGACCTCCCTTACAGGAAAGCAAGGCAAGCCAAACACAGTGTTCACCCCTTTTCCCCTTGCTGAGTTCCACTGGGTGCACTGGCTCTCTGGCTTTTGGAGATTGGGGATTTCTTCTCATTCATTTGCAATCTAAAGCAAGAAAAGATCCCAGAGATTCACTAGCATTTCTCATGCAATGACTCATATGTCCAGAGCAAACCTAAAGAAAAACATATTTTGTATTGTAGATATGTATTTCTTTTCTTGCTAGTAGTATTTCTAATTACATTATCTTTTCATCTCTCTCCAGAAGGAATGGCAATATGCACCTTTATATAGTCTCACAGAAATATACTAATTTTTTTTTCTCTTTTTCTGACTTTTAGGCGAGGATATGCACAGCACGAGGTAAGGCTGTTCCTCAGTTATATTAATTACATTAATATATTTTTCCCATGCAGCCTATATGAAACTCATTGCTACTGGATGTTTGAGAGACCAGAAATATCAAGTGGTTCAAAAAATTCATGAGGCATAGGTTCCGAGGGGCTAGCAACCATGTGGCACCAACGTCACCTCCAGGCTAGGAGATTCCTGCTTGACAAACTGCCTAAAGCAGTTTCCCAGGGAATTCCCTCTACGCGTGCTGGGTTTTCTTATGGCACGCCTAATCATCTGCTGCTGCCCGCTGTCGTGGGCCAGATACTGGACCACGCAGACCTTCTCTGCAACTCAGTGTCATCTGTTGTTCTTGCAACATCTTTTTCTCCAGCAAAGAATAACATGGAGAGTTTCCTTCAGAAATCTGAATGAATTCATTTAAGAATTGGAAAGTTCTCCAAAATACATTTCTGTAATAAAGGCTGATATTTACTTGCTAAGAGCTAGATTAGTTTTATTATTCTTAAGGTGTGTGTCCGGAGCCTACTGCTCCTTATTCAGTAGTGTTTTACAAACTGCAAGCTTTCTGTTATTAGGCTGTGATTTTTCCTCCCTTTGCAGAGCTGATCTGTGTCTCTAATTCAGAAACAGAACTTCCCCATCTCAGGGTTTGGTTCTGGCCAAGAAACTTGGCTGAAATAGAGCCACCAAGTTTTGGGAGGCGTGTGGGGATGATGGTACCAATTTTCCTCAGTAAATCTGATCCTCACGTACCAAATGGCAAGTGCTGTGCATCGGTCTGTCATTTGCAGAAAACTGGAGCTGCAGAGTAATTAACAAGATGACTGCCAAAAATGACCCATGTTTAGCTGTGACACACCAGGGAGCAGCCATATTGTCCCGTAGGTCCTCTCCGCACAGCCTCCTGCGGTCTTTTCCCTCATGTCAGCATGCTTTTCTCACTGCATTCTGCATACAGAAATCATGCATAAACTGCAGAGAAAACCAGTGAGATAATCCTTCACTTTTATTGGTATCGTGAATTAAAGTATATTTGTGGTTGCAAGGTATTCTGTTAAAAGCCAGAAGTATATAAATATAGATAGAGAATTGAAGTCATGGTACTACAGTAGAAGCTTGGGTAAGAAATCAAATCACTTCAGGTTTTTAACAGCTGAATCACAGACTTTACTGCAGATTCCCATAGATCTGCTTTCTGCCTGTTGTGGATAAATGTATGCCATTGTCTCCCTGCTGTCTCCAACATACACCGCACAATAGTTCTCTTTGGCTCTGGCAGAAGTTCTTGAGTTACATAATGCAGAAGTTCACCACATAAACTTGGATTTTGATTTATATTAGGCCAAAGAAATAGTGGACTGTAAAGTGATTTTACTATATTAAGGAAGTATCCAGGTGCTGTACAAAAGGCTCTGAAGGACCTGTGTTTTTAGGATTTCTTTCCAATCTTAACTCAAACACAAATGACCTGCACTTTAATTGCTGCTGCCTAATTAATCCATTTCTAATTTTCTTTTGTAGCAACAGCAGTTGCTGAGACCTTCTCTTCTCAGACCAGAGGTACCACTATTTCTCATTTCTTATTTATAACTTTTTCAAGTGGCTTTTACATAATTTCCTAATAAAAACTTGTCTGTCTTAGGTAATATTTTTACCCCTGATTATTATGGATGAAAAGGTCTGACATTGTTACCCCATTTATGTTGTTTTAATTAAATACCTTAAACTTACTGCATCTTGGTATTTCTCCCTTGAGCATCTTTCAGTTGCTCCCATGGATTTCATCGCTGAAGACTGATAGCCTTCCTAGTTTCGTGTCCAGATTCACAGACAGAATGATTTCCTCACCGTCCAACTGCAATCTGTTTTTTCAGATGTCAGTCTACTGATAATTGATTCTTGTACCTAGGGATGAACTAAGCGGTTGGCCTGCCAGGGTAACGGAAGCATTAGTACACTGCTGTGAAGTGCAAAGGCCACTCTGGATTATAAACCAAATACTTGCCATTTCAAATCTTTTAGACCCAATATTGTTTCCAGAATAAGCAATAGAGCAAACATAGCTTTTGTGAGGCTTTGCTATCGATGGTGGGTTTGTAGCACAGTGGTGATAGTTTCTGCAGTCATTGTAAGTAGTTACAACGAGGTGCTCTGACACAACTTTAAATTCATTGGACAGAGGAAAAATCCCTAGGAAGCAGTGAGATAGATGACATGAAGTCCCTTGCCAAAACCCAAGCCCTGGTGCTGTGTGTCAGTGCTGCAGTTCAGAGGTAGTCCATAGCGCAGCCTAACACCAAACAGTGTGTGAGAGGAGCTGGAGGACGCACTGGCACTTTTGTAGGACACAGACAGTCCAATGCTGCTCATGATTGTTGATGGTTGAGAAAACATTAAAAAAAAAAAAAAAAAAAAAAGAGACCTGACAAACACTGTAAGAAAGATAGCCCTAATCTTTCAACACAGCTTTTTCCTTTGAGAGAGGCACACTGTCACTTCTTGTGCCACAAGTCCCCTTTTTGTACTGGTATTTGTACAGGATGAGTGAGACAGTGTCCCACACCAGAACAGCGGCTGCATTTAGTGGACTTAAAACAGTCACTCACAGGGAATACAGCAGGGAAGGGGTCGTTTAAAGCTCCTGTCGGCTTCTCATTATGGCTCTTGACAGTTGTCAGTGTTCCTCATATTATCACTTTAAAATACTGTTCTTTGTGCCTTTTTCATCAGTGTATAACTGCATTCAATCAGTGTTTCTCTTTTGGCAGGAGTTAAGTATGGAGTCTGGAATTGATCCAGGGCAGGAGTACTATGGACAAGATTACTACAGTTATGAGCATGGGTATATTTTCATTTTCCCTATATATTTCTGAAAATGCTGCTATTCCAGGTCGGTGATGTTTATTCTTACAGCATCTAATCTGGAGATTTCCCTTCACCTCAGGATTACTTTAATCTATGTGTCCACAAAGGCATGCACTGACAAGAAAACTCTTTTCAAAAGTTAAGAGGCCGTTGCACAACTCCTTGCTTCTTTAGGAATCTAATTATTGTGCTTGCAGAGTGCGTACCCCATCTGTCTTGCCACGTTTATATTCACTTTTTTATTTGCATATTTCTGCTGTCTTGGAAATTAATTTCCATCATCTCCTCCCCTTTTGTGGCTCTCCAGTTCTCACTGAACCAGCCTGAGTTCAGTGACTGATACTTTGTGCTCTCAGTTCCCAGACAGTGTCTGGCCTTTTACATTTACCTAGAAAAACATCAACCCACTTTCTGATAATGCTAGGCTGACTGCAAGCACTGCAGGGATTGTTGCTGTTCTTACAAGCTCACAGGGATTCTTCCGAACTGATCCCAGGGAACCTGCTGATCCCAGGAAACCTGCTGTTTCATTCTCTAATTATAAAAAAGATTCCACAAAAAATCAGGTACCTAGAAAGAAGGTCATTGCACTTGAGGGATTCTTGACTGATCCCAGACACCTCGCAGTTCAGGTTGCCTTCCAGTTATAACCAGCTTGCGGCCAGCTGCAATGGGAGGGGGTTTTGGGTTGTGTTACTGCTAAGGAAAGAAGAATCATAATCTTTTCAAAGGTAGAAGGAGAAAAGAGAGCAAATAATTTCTTGTCCTTTCAGGATGTGCGCGTGTGCATTTGTTGCTGTGTGTGGAGACACACATGTGAACACATTGGTGCACATTATGAAGAGACAGTGGTGTTTTTGCCAGGTATGAACTGCCTCAGTACGGGAGCCGCCGCCGGTTGCTCTCTCCTTCGGGGATGTACGATGAGTATGGGGAAGTTGTGGTGGAGAATGACAGTGGCTACTACTACAGTCCACATGGATCGACAGCAGAAGAGGTAAGCATCTCTGGTGTGTTGCTTCTGTCTCTGCAACAAGCTGAAGGACAATTAAACCTTGTCGAATGTATTTTGTAATTGATTAGAATATTGTGTTAACTACAGACCAAATAAGCAGCTCTTTCAATGCTAATCATTGTTTGCTCTTCTGATGACCGGTAAAATTCGTGTCAGCATTTTTTCCTTTCTCTACAAATAAAAAGGAATTGCAGAGTTTCTTTTAATATCCACATCTGTTTTCCCTCAATGTAGATTTCCAGTTCGAAGAAAAATCCACATAGCCTTAAGTAATTCCATTTTTTATTGCTAGCCAAATGGGGTATTACTAATACTCAACCTATAACTGGTGATTTTCCACTAAGAAAAGCAGTCACCTAAACTCATTTATCATAAAGTTCACAACTGAATGTAAAGAAATTTTAAAATGTCAGTGGCAGCCAGAAGAAAGTTGATGTAAATCTTCCTTTTTTTTTTTTTTTTTAAATCTAATTTTCAGAAATGCTGGACTCCTAATCCATCACATGGGTTTTAATTAAAGGAGGATAGCATTTCTGAGCCATATTTTTCCCTGTTGCAGAGTAAGGTAGTTGTGCACTTGCAGCCTATTCTGGAAGTAAAACTTTCCCCATAACTTTGGTAAAATGCTGTTCTAAAACAGGTAAGTTAGTTTTTGATGCTAGGAAAAAATTCTGCATTTGTTCCTACTGACTTATCTTAGGGTGCAAGCTTTCGCAATAACTATCTTTCAAATTGTAATCAAGTTCCATTTTCGTAATTTGCAGGCGATGAGTCAAGGCAGAGGTCCTTCAAGCAGAGTTATAAGCCAGAGAGCAGGGGCTCAAATAGAAATCAGACCTTTAGGTGGTGGGATGGAGTTAAGACATGGTTCTGGAAGAGCATATAGGACCAGCCAGGGAAAAAGGAAACTAAAAGCAGTGATGCATGTAAGCCGCATAGCAGTCAGTACTCACAAACCAGTAGGAAGAACTGAGTCTGCCCGTTCTCCGTGGAAGAAAGCAAAGATATTCCCCATGATTCTGCAGAAGGTGAAAGGCGGTAGGAAAGATTCCAGTTATGCCAAGTTGATGTCAGCTTGCCAAGTGGACGGTGAGAAAAGCATGATTATCAGGGGAAGTTACTTCCAGAAACCAACAGATGACAGACCTTCAATGAGAAAACTAAATCATGCATTAAAACACATCAGTGTCTTCAGAAAATTTCAAGAGCCTATCAGCAAAGATTCAGTGCCTACAAGAGGAGAAGGAGAGGAAGAATATGGAAGAGATGAAGCAAAATCAGGAGTTTCAATAAGTATCACAGCAGAGAGTGAACATGAGGGTAGTGATTATGAGGAGAAGAAAAAGAAGAGCAGAAGATACACTTCAGATGAATCATCTGTGAAGAGTAGTAGCTCTGACTTGGAGTCAGAAGACAAAGACTACTTGAAAATAACTCTGGACCAAGATGAAGCCACTGAAAGTACTGTGGACTCTGATGAAGAAACTGGGCATGATTTCGGGGATTCTGATGATGACTCTGGATCCAGCTCTAGCAGTGAATCAGAGGAGGACTTATCTGAAGAGGATGATGACGAGGATGACTCTGACAGTGATGAAGAGGATAGCCTGTCAAAGAGCTCATCTATGCGAAGTTCCTACAGCAAATCAGGGACTAGCGAGTCCAGCAGTAGAAGCAGCACTGAAAGATCCAGTATAAAAAGTAGGGGAGGTAGTTCTTGTGGCAGAGTGAGGCGATCCAGCCAGAAATCAAATATTAGCTCTAATGCATCAGGTAGTGACAGGGACACAAGCTACAGGAAAACTTCAGGATCCAACTATAAGAGCAAAACATCCCCTGCCAGCCTTGAAATAGAAGATACAATAGAAGAGGTGTCAGAAGAAGATGAACAAGCGGATACGGAGCAAGCCAGCACAGGCCTTGATGAGTTGGCAGGTAACTCAAATATGGCAGTTTCTGAAACATCTGCCAATGCAAAAACTGTTGCTTCTGAAGAAGACAAGAGAGGAAAATCAGCTCTTAATGGTGAGGATAGCGTGAATGAAAGCACAGAAGAGGTTGATACAGATGCTAGTGACAAGGAGGAAACCATCAGTAAGAATGAATCTTCTTGCCTAGAAAGTGAAGTCAGTGTTACTTCCAAAGGTACTGAGGGGACAAAAAGCACAGCTAGCACCACTTCTGGTAAAACTGCTTCTTCCCCTGATACTGAGACTCAAAGTTCTGGCAACAACATGAAAAGAAAGAAAATAAGAAAAAACATGTCCCAGGAAAACAGTCAGTCTCAGTCAGACGAGCCCCTGGATACTGCCATTACAGAGTCAGAGACTACTGGTGATTCTACGTCCTTTTAAAAAGGAGTGACAGTAGGTGGACGTTTTGCAGTAAGGAGTGATCTTGTTTGCTGTGCTTTCTGTGTGGTCTTTCCTAAGCAATACACACTTGACTAGAGACAGCCAAAAAGAAAATGTCAAATCTTGTGCTTCAGCATTTGAACCCTGTATGGTGTCTTAAGGATAGAACCAAACTAATGCAATTCCTCTGAGAGACTACTCGGGTATATTTAGTGGTGGATATAGAAAGATTAATTTTCATTGAGCAATGGCAGGAAGTAGTACTTCTTTTTCCTCTGCTGATTTCAATAATGTAGTTAAAAGAGGCATTGTGTTGATTTTTAGATTTAATCCTTTGGGCATTATACATGTTGTGAAGCAAAGTAATGTTGCGTTTTGCATTAGCTGTGATGGATAGCTTGATGAACCTGGTGGCACAAACATCTTAAGGGCCTTGTGTTCACACAGGTTATGTCTGTCACAAAATGGAACACAACAGGAAGGAAAAGGTGCAAAACATAGAATTCAGTGAACAGGAATGAGGATGAGGATGAGGATGAAAAGACTTAGAAGTCATACATGGTTTCACCTTATGTTCCCCTACCGTACAGCATTTGCTAATATTCAGATGGGTTCTCTGCTGTAAACATTAGCCCTGTTTGCAGGGAGAACTGAAATTGCAGCAAAGCAACACTCCCAAAACTGCAGAGTATTACTAGCAGAGCTGGGATTAAACTGTTTCTGGATCATGGGATTCACGTTTCAGGTACCAGTGATGTACAAGACAGGAAAGCAGAGGTAGGTGTACAACATGAGCTTGGCCAGTAGAGGAATGGATTACGTTTTCCAACTTCTGCCCTTCCCACCTAACAGTACAGTGGTTTTATTATTTTTTTAAAAAAAACATATGTTTAAGAGTTTGAGATGCATAACAGCAAAGTATTGCTGAAGGTCACCATCACCTATGTACTACATTTTGGTATCTGCCTTTTGAAATTCAATGACCTGCAGTATCTGATGTCATTCAATAGAGAAATCTTGTAGCCCTTTCATTAGCACAGTTCAGCTCAGAATGAGCATGATGCATAGGAAGGACCTCTCTTATTGGCAGCGCAAGCAGCCTTTGTGTTTTGATATAAGAAGCAACCTCTGCATGATGTACCTCCTCATGGAGCTCTTATCCGTGCTGTTAGCAAGCTTTGTATACCCACAAGCAAGCTGTGTTTCATTTACCTTATATCAAAAGCCACAGAGCTGTTTCTCAATCACTAGATTTATCCAGATAAGCCATAAGAAGCCTAAATAAAATTAAAGCTCTGAGCCACTATTGGATTAGTCTTGTGAGTGAGTACTTCAAAGCTAGCACAAATTCTGGCATATGCATCAAAACTCTGCCAAGAAGTCTCTGTTAGACAGGGGAGAGAAAAATGTTTGAATTTTTAAGATACTTGAGCCTGCTGTGGAGTTACCCTGGCAGGACAATTGGTGTTGAGCTAAAAACGTGATACTGACTTTTCAACTACTGCCTTTAATTCCAGTTGAAATGTGAACTACATTCGTGATCAGTTATCTACTATTTTGTATTTCTATATAGCACAAAGTTGTAGCTGCACACAGTGTTTTAACGTAAATCCCATTTAAACTACTCAGTCTTTTGATCCACCTGAATATATCTGTGTGAAGAAAATTGTATGTGTTTATCAGGAACAAAAGAATGGGCATCTAAGCAATTTGTACAAAGTGTAACTTCTCAAAAGCTTGAGAGTAATCACCGCCCATTTGTACATTGCACGATTTTCTTTCTCCAAAACTGGCTTTTCTTGTGTGCATGTCTATGTATTGCAGTGGGAGTTAACTGTGAATGGTGTCTGCTGCCTTAGTGAAATAACAGTGTTTTCATCATTAATTTAAGAGTGATAGTCGCTTGTTTCAGTGTACTGCAAGGAGGCATTATTTTTTAAAAGATCAATTATAAATTAAAATAAATAATGGGGTTTGTGTAATCACTATTAGTACAAAGCCACAGCAAGATGGAAATTGTTTGCATTAATTCTTTTTAAAAAATATAAATTATATAAAATCTAAAGTCTCATTTCTTCACCATCTTCTATTTCATAGCAAAGTGTCTCCTTTGATTCCACTAGATTGGAACTGGCATAAAGCCTTATATCAAGCTTTTGTTTTTTCAACCAGCCAATTTTGCCAACGTCTTGCCTGAGAATTTCCCTTGTGTAGGTCCCAAGATCTTCCTCTGCTTGATGTGTTGTGCATGTAAAACAGACCTGCTCAATGCCATTTCTGCACTGAATTCACAATGTAGTAATACTCTGGAAGAAAACTTCTAAGGCCTTCCTAGCATTTACCCGCTAGTACAGTAGTTTCTTAGAAATACCACACAATGGCTTCATCATCGGTGCCTTCCAGTTTCTGTTAGAAGGGTTTATTAATCTAGTTGGTTTTCCTCTCTCTTTGTAAGACAGACTGAGACATTGCTCTCTCAAAATATGACTGGCTTGTCAATATCGGGATTAAAAGAAGTTGTCTTTCAGAAAGTAATGTCTTCATTCTCAGGATTCTCCAAAAAAGGTGCACTTCGACTTTATGGGAGCACAACTGAATGCATCTTTAGAAAAAAAGAAAGCAAAAAAAAAACCCCGAACAAACAAATTTGTCACTGCTTTCCAAACCTGAAGAGAAACATCACAATTTTTATACACTCTGACGCGCATTATGCAGTCATGAACTAAAATGGATTTATCCATCTTACACCTTTGTACTAAAAAGAATTGTTTGCATGTTCGAGCATTAGGTGTATATGATAGGGGCACACAGTGATAATCAAAACAATTAAGAAATATCTGTGTTCAACCTAAGAGGAAGGGTACAAAAGACCAAGTTAATAAAAATTCATATGAGTGTCTAGATAAAAGACAATATAAATAACAGATAGGAAAAGGGCAGGAAAATGCAAGAAATAGCACAGAGATTTAATGACATTTTCTATTTCTTGTCAAACAGTGGGCCAGAAAGAAAAGGATCAAGTTGATAGTTGACCCAGAGTATGAGACCAGCTCCACTGGAGAAGACAGCGCTCCTGATTCTAGCCAGAGGAATCGTCTTAATAACCCAAATATTCAAAACAACATCAACGGTAACATCTACATTGCACAGAATGGCTCTGTTGTCAGAACCCGTCGCATTTGCCTTGGTAATAATTTAAAAGTCACATCTCCAGTGAGGCTGGGGAAACAGTTCAAGAAACTGGACAAGCTTGCAGTGACACACGAGGAGAATGTCCCACTGAACACATTGTCAAAGCGACCATCTTCTAGTGATAAAATGAACGCAAGACCTTGCAGTGTCTCATTTGCTTCCTCTACTATAGGGGCCGAAAATACAGTAACAAAGCCAGGGGGCTCCAAAAAGAAAAGCACAGAAGAGCACGAATCAGTAGTTGATAACGAGGATGTCAAAGAGCCCTTGGAGTTGCACAGTGAGCACACACAGTCAGACGAAGAGGAGCTCTGGATGGGCCCTTGGAACAACCTTCACATACCAATGACAAAACTGTGATTTTTATTTTTTTTTTAATTTTAATTTTTACTTCAGTTTATAATAAACTGCGCTTTTTATTGTCACTGAGGAAAATGTATGAAATTTGTATTGTGCACATACGTTGTATACTACAAACAACACACTTTAAAGTTGAAAAACAAAACTTGCACTCACATTTGTACCAGTTGTCCTCTCCAACAACTATTTTGACAGGCTCCTGTTTCACTAAACAACACTTCATTTAAAGTAATTAGATTTTTTGGATCTTGAGTTATTGTTTAATAAACAGTAAACTACTAATAAATGCACAGCAACATTGGGTTAACTTTTCAGACAGTTCTATACATGCCTAGCTTGTTTTTCTGTATGGTACTTGTGGCTATACTGTTTAGATTTGGAAATTGTCTATTTATGTTCAAGATTTATATCCAGAGCTCTTGATTCTGAACTCAGAGTAATAAATTAAAAATAAATTCATGAAAGTCAATGGAGCAAATCCTCGGCTGGCTTAAATTTGAGTAACAGTACCAAAGTTGGTAGTGATATACCAGTTCATGCAAACAGAGGATCTTGCTCAACACCCAGCTAGCAGACTTACGTAATAGTGGAATTGGAGTTTATAAGAGTATAGCACTGTTACATAGAAAAGGGGAATATAAGATTGAAAAAGATAACAATTTCAAAGAAGAAGGAAATGTGTAGCAATTACTCTTACTCAGAGTTACCTGGCCGTGGTTTGTTCATTTTCTTTTGGAAATTAGCTCATTCCAATTTTCTTCTCTAGTCAATTTTTCATCTTTTCATCTCTTCCCACATCAGTTCAGTTTTCTTCTTTATACGGTCTTTAGCTCTGGTTTTTATGCTCCATCAATAATTGTCATCCTATGGCTATATTCCTCCGAAATAAACCAGGATGATACACAAGGCTGAGTGATAGAAATAGGCATTAAAGAGTAATTAATAGGAAGGGGATGGATAAATTTTCAAGCCCAGCTAGCTGTTGGGTTAAATGGTACAATCACCATTCCACTCCAATAGTGTTGAACATAAACCTGCTGAAAAGACAAATAGATCATGGTGAAGAGGATAAAAAGTGAATATTTTACGAGGCTCATATGCATAAACGGATCTGTGAAGGGCAAAGGGTGTCAGAACACACACACAGAACTGTTTCAAAAACTTCAAGTAAGCATTACTTGTAAAATACACTACATAAATTTTGGCACCTGCTTCTAATTTCTATTTGTACCTCAAAGGAGTGAGTGTGTTGTTACAACTTGAATAAGGAGCTGAGAAATGCCACTGTTCATAGATACCAATACCTAAAAGACTAGCAATACAGAGCGAACTGTTTTTCTCTAATGTGACATAGGAAAAAAAAAAAAAAAGAAGATACACGTTCACATGAGAAAAGTGTCCTGTTATATTACACAAACTTTTTTTTCAGGATAAGATCAAACTAGTTGTGAGAATGATATGGATGCCTCTTGAAAGACAGGAAGAGTCAACACATAAATGCGTGCAATTAGTAAGGGAATGATTGGCATTATCATTCTTTCCCTGTTGCTGTAGTTGAAGTTTCACCACAAGATCTGGATGATGATGATGGTTCTTGGTTCTGCCCTGGCAGTAAATGGACTTCTGCTGCTGTGATTGTGCTTGTTTCTCCTTGCACAGGTTCTCCTCCATGAGATGCCTCTTAATGTTTGTCTTTAGAAGCTGTTCGCACGTTATGCCGATGTAAATGTGACATTTCTGTCAAATACCTCCTTTTTAAGCTGAGGTTTCCGACCAAATATTTTGAGAGACAGTGCTTGTTTTTAGGCATGAGAAATGCAATGTTGCCTACCATGCAAGGAAAAAAAAAAAAAAAAAGACCAGGCATTTCTTTCTCCTAACTCTTTTATCTTGGTATATTTGCACTTGGTAGCTAACAAAAAATAGCTGTTTGGAGTTTAGCTGGAGTCTGAACATATAGATAAGAACGATGGAAGAAAAAAAAAATCTATTCTTTGAAATAACTAGTAAAATGTGATATTTTAATCCTGTTTAAGATACTGTTATTATTTCACTACATCATTTTTATTGCAAGATCTTCAGTTTGGTTCTTACTAAATACTTCAAGAATGTCATAATGCTTTTTAGAGAAACATTTTCTCCAAGACACTGTCAATTTTCTGAGGGGAAAGAAATTGCTTTTTTTCTAGACACTTCCAGCTATACCAGCTGTAGCTCTAGCTCTGTGAAGGATTGTCAGGCCTGACATTGGTGGTCAGTAGTGCTGTGTGTGCTTATCAGAAGCAAAACCTGTCAATACCATCTCCTTGCTGTCCAAGCGCTCAGAACTTTTCCCACAATGCAAAGAGCATAAGAAATTCCACATTTTCAGCAATGGGTGGGGTTTATGTAAACTCTAGCTTGATTTTAGCTGAATTTGTAGTGACTTTCAAAATCTTGAATACTGTTGGCAAAGAGAGAGCTTCGAGAAATCTTTCTTAGGTGCAGAAGACTTGGGGGCATATTTATTTTTTTCTGTTGATGTTATACTGTACAATACAGAATTCAAATCTTTATTTTCTAGGGATGCCATACTGTAAATTAATACAGATTTTAGACTGTGAGCAGGCAGTGGGTGCCAGAACCAACAGCAATAACAGTACAGACCGATACAGTAAAAAAAAGTAACTTCTACATTTCCTTTGGGAAGTATTATTGTTGCGTTGGTGGGTGCAGTAAGTAAGAATAAAAAGTCTGGGTCTTGGGATATAATATACAGCTATTTAACCACTGAAATTTGTAAAGCTGATGCAAGGCATGAGCATTTTCCTCTGGGTGGCAGAATACTCACTGGCTGACAGATCAAGGTGATAATCGTTGCTCCTGACGTGGATTTAATTTGTACACTCCTCCAAGGCCCTGATAGTTTTGTGCCTTAGTACGGCATCTGCTGTGTTTTCAGTAGTGGCAAGATTCAAATGACCAGCTGTGTGGCTGTAGAAGGGCAGTGTAATGCCCATTGTCAGGCAGAATAAGGAATGTCAGGAGAAAAATAGAGACTTTTTTTTTTCTCCTTTGTTTAAGTATATATTGCTTACTATGAGCAAGACTTGTCAAGAAATCCCCACAGATCTATTGGGGACCTGTTAGGAAGCTTAAAGTATTTATGAATTAATGGTAGGTAGTCCTTGTACCCAGGACTTGCCTGAGTTGGTGTGGGGGGAAGGACAGTGTGGTAGTGGTGGGTGACTTCTGTGTCTGTCTTGATGCCTTCTGATGGCAGAGTGATGTCACAGCGCGATCACTCAGCATCCCTGGGTTGAATCCTTCCAGAACCTGGTTATGTAGGTGGAAAACTTGCACAGTCAGCAAAACAGAAAACAGATTGAAAGGAAAACAGATTGAAAAAAATAATCTGAATTTTTAACAATGGGAGAACAGCACCAATCTCTGACACAGATTTCAGCTTATATGGTAGAAAAACACGTAGTGGGAATGGGATCATCATTCAGTTTTGGATCAGTCACAACCATGGGAGTGTTTTCTGGAAAGTGTCACACACCTAAGGGAATACAGCTTGGTATTTTAACACGTCTGTAATGGATCACAGCCCGAGTGGTTCTGGTTTCCTGTGATGGTCCTCCTCAGGTTGCTTCTGTGTGGTGATCTCGGTGGTTGGGAAGTGGCTTCTCCTTTTTACATCTGTTTGCCTCTAGAAAATGTCACTTGTAACTCAAAGCTTTACAGTTAAATGTACTTTAAAGCTGGTGGATGGTGATAAATGCTTCTTACCTTGTAAGATTTAGAATTGTGCTCCAAGTGGGGGTATACCTTTGAATGCTTTCTCCAGCCCTAGTTCATGGCTGTGCAAAGAAATACAGCTAGCCAGAAATAAGGGCAGCAGCTTTCTCTTGCTCAGCACATGCTTTCTTGCTGATCCTTCAAATGCTGCAGGCAGGAATGGTAACTTTTAAGTTACCATTGACTGTCTCATTGTTTATAGTCTGAGAAAGACTTGTGTTTATTACAAAGTATTGATAAACCACTAGTCTTGCTAAACCCAAAGAATGGTGTAGTTTAACAAATGAATTTTGAAGGCAGCTGGTTCTCAAAAGCCCATTAGATGAGTACTGAGGAATATTACCTGTTCTCTTTATTATTGGAAGAAGAGAGTTTCAGTAATTTCACTGTTTGGACTAGATGTCTTAAGCCCAGCTAGTAAAATGATAAAGCTCTAGTACAGACCTGGATCGATAGTGTAGTAACAACATGAGGAGAATCAGGTAATTCCCTTGCAGCATAACAAAACTAAAGCTTTCACAGTGGCACAGTCCTGGGGGGCTGGAACAGCGTTTATCTTTCTGGCACTGATTGTTGCTCTTTACCAATACACAGTAAAATTATATTGTTCCTTTCGTGAGCCATCCAACATGAGTAATGCCATCCCTGGAAACTGCTTGCACGTTGGTATGCAATGGCCACCTACGATGCTGCTGTCATACCCAGAAGGACTTGCAGCATTCCAAGGGGTGTTTTCCTGTCCCCATACGGATGCCATAGAAACAAAGAGGTGGCCATGGCATTCAGGAATTGCTGCCATTTGGCTCTGGCCAAGCAGTCAGCGTGGGGTGAGCAGGCCTAGGGAGCCCATGCTGCAGTTCAGCAGAAGGGGATGCAAACTCCCAATCCCAGTTGTGTGGGGAGGGCTGCTTGGAAATACTTAAGTGGTTTTAGCCTGAGGAGGCTTAATTTGTATGCTCTCCATCTGGCAGGGAGCAGCAGCTTCCACAGGGAGCTGGGGGAACCACGCAGAGCTGCTTAGGCAGCAAATCCACGAGGGCACTGTGGGCAGAACTGTGGAGACCCTTGGAGTTACCATGCTTTATATTGGCCT